AGATAGATAGATAGATAGATAGATAGATAGATAGATAGATAGATAGATAGATAGATAGATAGATAGATAGATAGATAGATAGATAGATAGAACCTGATTTTTGGTGCAACTGGTTTGCCAGACAGTCCTCGACACCTGCGGTCCGCCGAGGAGAAACAAACCTAGATCTATTACGTTCTGTCATAAACAGAAAAGAATGTCAAATTCGAAACTCAGGGTACCAAAATCTAAATTAATGATTTGCGAGTGACTCTTTGTTTTTACCAAGATTGCAAATTATGAAATACCCCTTCTCTGGCTCCTGACTCTTTGCACTGCCAATCCTGGCACTTTACTGTTGCCTTTTAGCCACGGCCCTGATTTTAGGGTAGGTAAGATCGAACACCTAACCTTCTCGGATAAGAGCGAAAAAATCTCGGAGGTCCTGTGTGCAAGCTGTGCACGTTTAAGATCCCTTTAGTTGTCCCAAAAAGCGATTTATAGAGTTGGTTCTGTTCCTACCAAATTGAAAACACTCAAATGTATCCTGCACGCTCATATGACATGGTACAGTTGCGAGCTCCACAAAACTCGTACCTAAACAAAAGTAGGACGGGCAACTGTCAGTTTGAACCTTAGCCCATGTTGTTCCTGGAGGGCAACATTTTATTGGCAATTTGTTCAACTGTTCTTGGTCCAGAAAGCAATTTTTTTCCAGGAAAAGGAAAGAATGAAGAATAGATTTATGTATGTTTTATTGTCTTTTCTTTTTAAGAATTTAAATTTCAACTAAATATTTCTCGAGCACATGCAAACAGCACAGCAAATTAAGAAGCTGCAATGAAAAAAAAGAAGTTTGAAAATGTTGGGTTCAGTACATCTGAACAGATTGGCCAACAATTTGCAATCATTTTTTAAAAATACCATATCATTATAATGTGTTGTGAACCAAATATCCAGTTATCTTTTTTTTCGCGCGCTGAGCAATTTATTTTTTTAATTATTTTTTTTTTGGTTAATGGTAGAAGAAAATATGCAGGTATTGTAAAACAACTAAAACGTGTTCTCTTTATCTCTCTGCCCCCC